CTTGTGTCAGGGGCCACGCATTCGTCGGAGGGGCAGGCTGCTTCTTGTTCGGCCCCCAATTACGACCGCGCTCGAAAGAGTCGACTCTGCCAGGGTGGTCTGTTCATGGGAGGACGCCGAATCTGTCCTTTACCAGGATTACCAGGAAGCCGCGACGACAGAGCGAAACGTGTTATCTTAAGTTCTTAACTAAACCACGCGCGGTATCCGTGCGCATGCTCGGTTTGCGTCGCACCCGCGTTACGGGTTGCAGGAAGCGTTTGTTTGCAAACGTGAGACCCAGTGTTACAGACCAGAGCTATTTATACGGCGCTGTTTAAAAAACTTGGGAAGCGCGCGGTGCTGGCTCTGTTTAGGAGTATACTCCGTTCACTCTTTCTTCCGACTGAAGACCGAGGGAATGAGTGCTCTGTGAGCCAATCTCGTGTCTTTAAAGTGACCATGTGACTTCCCTTGCCAACCTTAGTGTTCAAGAGAGACGATATCATGCAACGCAGAGCGGATTCTAAGTCGGATCGAAGGATGAATGGAACGCAAAATTCTTGGGATATCCTTGTCTTACTTCAAGTTACTTGGCGCCACTCGAGTATTGCAGATAAAATTCAGGTGTGCACAATGCATCACTCTTCTCAACGCGGCCTGCTTTACGATGTCAGTAATCTGCTTCGTTAAACTTGAGAAAGGCTGCCTGAAAAACAGTAAATCGGCATTTCCACTGGTTTCTTTTATTCTTGTTTCCTTTTCTAACCTTTTTTTTTTTTTTTTTTTGTATTTTTTAGTGGGCCCGGTTCTGGAGTAACGCCGACTATAGAGGGAAAGTTGGCGACTCTATCGCCGGAGGGAAGAGGCAAAAGTAAAATAATATTATTAGGTTTTTTTTTTGCCCATCTTTTCAAGCTTATTTCGATGTTATCCCATAGATAGTTCCAAAATTGCAGAAAGGAAGCAGATTGGCTTAGAACGACGAAAGGAGGAATCGTAGTTTTGGTTTTGAGTTTCTAGGCCTGGTGGCGCAAGCTACCGCCCGTTATAACGGCACAGCCGTTAGCATCCATCCATCCATCCATACCTTAACGATGAAAAAGCTCACGCTGTTTCTTGTAATCTTTTTTTTCTATTTACTCGTGTCATCTGCAATATATCGGTAAACAAATAAAGCGAAAAAAATATTCACGTAAGAATTTTAATGGCACTACGCTGCACGGTTCAGACAGTTGCGTTTTAGTCTGTACGACCGACTGCTTTAAGACTTCCTGCGCCCCACTAGGACACGGGTTGCGTGCATCGGCTGCCATAGCAGTCATCTCTCCATAAGCAGTTATAAGCGGCATTCAGTCGCACTCAAACGCAGCTCGTGTCACAAAAAAATCCCTCATCGGCGTCGGTGGGACCAAAAATATTCCATAATGCAACGCGCGCAGTCACGTGGGACGTCACACATGAAGTCATGCGTGTGACGTCACACGTGGCCGTGACATCATGACTATCGAACCGCTAAATCTGACACAAAATTTATCGGGAAAATTTTCCGGCCAGATTTAGTGGAAAATTTTCTCACCCAATTTAGCGAAAATGTTCCCGCCAAATGTAGCGGAACGTTTTTCACTAAATCTGGTGGGAAAATTTTCCGCTAAACTTAGCGGCTCAATAGGGTCATGCCGTCACAGCCACGTCTGACATCGCGCGTCACGTGACATGATGCCACACGTGACGTCATTTCATGTGACATGACGTGACGTGACGCGTCATGTGACATGACGACATGTCATGTGACATGACCATGCACAGACGCTTGCACGGCTTGGGAGGGAGTGCGGATTTATATGAGAAGGCTTTGCGAACGAGGCCCGATAACGCTATCGCATTCCACTCTTAAATGCGAAGCTTAATTTAAGCGTTCCCCAAGTTTTTTAGGCACCTAATACAACACGTATAGAAGAAGGAAAAAAAAATTTGACCGGAAAGAAAAGATGCCGCAATATTTGTGTTGAGAGACTCATTATGCGTAATGGAAAGTGCTTCTGTATATACGTATATAGGTTCTGTTCAGATAAGATCATACACGCGAGTCCGGACATTTTTTTTTTTTATGTTACTTCTCTAAATGTGTAGGAAACATAATCACAAAGATTTCCCGAAAAACATACTATTGGAAGAGATTAAAAAAAAAAACAAAAAAACACGGCATATTCGATTTTTTAATGTTTTCGTTTATGTCATGTTTGGTGACACCTACTACGCAAACTACAAAAATCAGAAATCTCGAATGTTTTTCCCTTATAATAGATCACGAGAACTATCGAATAATATATGTACATAAATGTGTAAGTCATATATTTCGCGTCAAAAATGCGCAAACATGACTCCTTTGGCGTTTCGTCACTTGATTACTGAGCCGTTATCTGCAAAAAAATGAATAGCTCTATAACATTGAATATATATATATATATATATATATATATATATATATATATATATATATATATATATATATATATATATATATATATATATATATATATATATATATATATATATATATATATATATATATATATATAGTCTTTTGTTGTTTTTTTTATTGCGAAAATATATACGCCACCGGTTCGAACCAGGTGCCAAAGTTTAAGAACTAACCGCGTTTCCATATTACAAAGAAAGTGAGAGGTAATTTTCTGCAAAATTGCAATGGGGAAACTAGGGCCCGTTTTCACCTGTTTTCCGAAACTGGCGTCATTCAGCTCCGTGTATTCGAGAGCCTCTGTCGGATGCCATTTTTCCAATAAAAATTTTAAAATCTCACCTCTAACCTTTTTTTTTTTTTTTTTTTTTTTTGTAGTAAGATACGGTTAGTTTTGTAACTTTGGCACCTGGTTCGGACCATTAGCTCTACACTTTTTCGGAGAATGAGCGTTCGGAGATGAGTAGTTTATTGTACCAGTAAAAAAACAAAAAAAACAAAACAAAAAAACAACCTTTGTATTTTCTTTTTTTTTGTAATTTTTGACATTTTGTATAACTTGGTTAGCGTCTCAGAAAGAAGCGCGTTTCGGAAGCACTACTCACTCGAAATCAGTCTCACGCTGTAAATACGTAATTTGTTTTTTTCGGGCAATGTTTATTGCGTGATATATTTCTAAAATTCAGGCAATGAAAAAGAAAAATGTTTTTAGAGAGTTCACTGACTCATTTAGACATTTTGAAACTTGCTCCTGGCTCGACATGTGGAAATATCCGAATCGCTCTTCACTCAACAAATACCTCGCAACGTTTTTTTTTTTTTTTTTTTGGTGGGGGGGGGGGGGGGGGGGGTTGTGTAGTACGTACATGCGCTATATCAGCACTTAATCAAATATATATATTTGAGGAGTTCAACGCCCTTTTTTGGTTTAACGCGGTAGTAGCTGCGGGACGTCTCGATTGACGTCATCCCTGCAGCGGCGACGCGGAGGAGAAAGTCTCCCAGACGGAGTCGTCGTCAATTGCGTCTGATGGCCGACAACGAAGCGGAACGAACCACGTGCAGCAGCCGCAGACGTCGCCGATCCGCCGCGCAACCAGGGGCGTAGCCGCCGTGCGCTGCCCGCCACCCTCGCTCAACTCAATTAGCGCCCGGGGATCGGTCTGGTGCGGCGGCCATCAAGATCAATTGGAGACTCCCAGCCGCGAACACACATGCGCCTGGGGTCGCGCCCAACCGCGCTCCTCGCAGCGGCTTCACGGTGATACGAGACACACACATATACATGCCCACATACACATTGCAAAGACGTCAACTACCATAGTTCCATCTTGCGGCAATTGGTGGCCGTTGGCTGTTCTTGGTGGGAAGCTCTGAAGATTTGTTGCTTATGCATTTGTACATGCTTTTTCTTGTTTTCTTTTTTTTTTTTTTTGTTGACGCCTGTTTTTACGATTAAATGTTTCGTCGGAGGCAATTTGAAACCTCTCGCTTGTGGGGATCAGAGTTTCTTTCCAAGGTTTGTTTCGTATAACCTAGCAGTGGCTGTTTCATTTGTAACAACGACAATATTGGCTCGCGTAGGTCGGTTGGTTAGTGTCGTCTCAACTAAAAGTACCCAAAGAAGAATGTAATGGTAATCATAGTTTATTCGACGGGATGCTTTATTCCTTAATCGATTTTTTTAACATGCGATCAGCGAGCGAAGCAGTGTGCATGAGATCTCCTTTGCGGAGTCCCGCGCTCATGGCAGTTGTGCACGCTAACTAAACATAGGCAATGAACTTTCCGAGAATAATAGCTTTATTCGGAAGAGTTACGTCATTTTTTTTTCAAACGCAAGTTGACGTTATTGACACGATTGTCGCAAAACGTCAGTCAAGTTCTCACGGAGTAAATGGACCGAGAAAACTGTTTGCGGCCATATCTGGTACCATGTCGAGAAATTGCGTGGATTGTTTATGTTAGGCTTTTAGACGATTCTAAAATGTCAATTATATTTACGTCGTGAATTATCAAAATGGGTTGAGTGAGACTCCGATGACCGCGAGGATCATCGCAGTGTTTAGCGTCAAAAGATAGCATGCAATCAAAAGCCGAATATAGAGGCAGAGGGTTGCGGAATAATGGCAGTAATCGCGGACGAATTTAGGCTATGCGATGCAAGTATAAACGCTGTTTCTTGTACACTCTAAAGTCGAGGGTCAACCTGTCCTTGCACATCGCAGAATCTGTATATGTACGTAAGTTTAACGGGCCACAATGACACGCACGCGCACCCGGTTACGAACGAAATTCCCGATTGTGTCAAACGTTTGTTCACTGCCCCTTTCGACAGATGCGTATCACTAAAATTCCAAACAACCGAGTGATAAACAGCAACGAAGTCGTTTGAATGCGGATCATTTCCCAGACCGGAAGCAGGAACCGATATATTTTAATTAAAATTTCCAAAGAAAGTCACAAAGACCAGGAGCGCGTCACAGTACAAAAGGTAATACGTGAAATGGTACTGCCCAGCTTGGGTCGGTGTGCTCACCTTTCGATCTCCTTGGCGCCATGATGGGGAGAGGAGGCAAGACTGGCTGGTGCCGACTGCGGTTAGAACCCTGGAAAAGCCACAAAACGACAACACTTGAGTCCAACGGCTGATTTCTGAAATACGTGTCTCAAACGAAGTAAGGCGCACAAAAAGAAAGTCGGGAAAATGCGAACTATGGTAGGTCAAGATCGTCGTACCCCGTTCAATAGGCCGGCCACGCACAAACCTTTCACACGGCCAGCCGCATACTGCGGTTAAAATATCCGCTCGTCTATGTGGCCGGGCAGAGCTCAAAACCAGTTTATCACAATGGACCCTCATATGTTCGAGTCTCGGCCTCGATTCTTCCGTTCGGTCAAAGTGCCCCGGCAATGGCCGCCGCTAATTCCCGAAGGTTAGAATGTCGGCAGTTGTCGCATCGCATGTCCAGTTAATTGTTACGGCCTCCAACGGTGTCAGTGTAACAGCACGCGACGAGATCTTACTTTAAACGACGCGGAGCGGTCAAACGTGACATCTTTGCCACTATATACCGACCGATTGAGAAAGAGAGAAGAGAAAATCACAATTAACACCATGTGGTTACATGAGAGCCTATAACTGACATCTTAGGGTTGCCACGAATTTCTGTCGAGTCGAATGGACTACTGAAGGAATCAAGGAGTGCGTGGGTCGAATACAATCTCTTTCTTTCTCGCGTAGACTCGGCGAATGTGATAGGCCATGGTGTAACAATATGCTTTGGTAATATTTTTTTTGTATGTTTTCATTTGTTTTACCACCTTATATAGTCATGCTGTTTCAAGATGGCGACCCCACTATCCATCACGTGAGAGTACCAAGCATGGGACATGGTAGTTATTAGTGCACACCACCCTTGCAGTATAGTACCTGTAGTAGTCATCGATTGTAGTTGTACTTACTAATTAAAGTATAGTAATCAATGGAAGCTTCCGGACAGAAAGGGTAATATCTGGCCATGAACTTTTTAGTACAGCCAAGATTTGATAGAGAGAGCGACTTAAACCAGCGTTTGGAATTTCGTAGCGGACTCCTCTTGCGCGGATCGCGGTCGCAAGTGCACGTGCGTTGCGTTGTCACTTGGCGAAAAGGGAAGCGGACGCAGAGGCGGAGGTGCTTGCAGACGATCGACGCTTTCGCCTCCTCCTCCTCGCAGCTAGTATTGCAAACGCTGCCCATAAACCACGTGACCCCGATAAAGGAGCAATTGGAAACACTCTAAAATCTGGGCACACCACATTCGTTGTCATACCAAAAAGAAAAAAAAAAAATATTGCGTATTATTTATGCGTTGCCCGAAGTACTCCTTACGAGATTTGGTACGTTGAAAGAGGAAACAAATCTTTTGGTGTTTCAAACATGTATACGTCTTGGCAAAAGATAAGAGATGAAACTAATCTAAGAGGCAGCTACATTCAGCCCATGAACGGGGAAATAGTAATGTTTTGAGGAGCCCGACTTGTTTTACTCAGGTTCTTGAGGTGACTACGAGTATAGACCTTTTTCTACAGCCCCTTGATAAAATTCAAGCTAGGTGGGAATTGTATCACGCCTAGCGCCATCTTGGGGGGGAGGGGGGCTTCAGGCGAACTACAAATGAAGAGCAGCCCATTGTGCCTCCACCCGTCAGAATACATTGGCACCGTGCCGTTCTGTCGGTTTTCAATAATTTTTCATTGCTTTCTTAGCCCTATTCTACCATGGTTCAAAAAAAAAAATCGTCAAAAAAGACGAAGATCGCGCGAAGATGGGAGCTGTCAATGTTGGTTTCAGAGACGGTGTCGTCCGAAAATGACGGCAGCGGGAAGAAATGGTCAGGGGAGGGGGTTAATGTAGGCGCACAGGCTTCTAAAAAACAAGTAAACAAAAAATCAAACATATATTAGTGGTAAAAATATGTCGCTCCTTAGAAAGAAAAATATGGTGTATCAATTTTAAAGCAACGGAAGCGTTAAACAGCTCGAGTTTAAAATTGGGCATTGATGACATTCGCGTGTCATCTTTCAAAGCGAAATGGACGTCATCACCATTGCAAGATGGGGAAAAAACAGCTTGGGAGACGTACGCCTCAGCAAAAAAAAGTAACAGTAAGCAAAACCTGCTTCGGTACTCAGGGAGGAAAAAGAAAACACATCTCCGTCGTGTTTTTACTATAGAGGCAGGCCCTGCAGCCGATTCCGTTTATACTCACACGTGTATACTCCACGTTTAGATCTCCTCTAACCGGCTATAGTGAAAAACAGGTTAAAGCCACGCTCTCACAATCAATCGATCTGCTTCTAGACACACCTCACGCCGATTAAATCGACACAGCGTGTCACGTTACAACCACAGAAGTGATTATAACCGTAGCACACCGTACAAAGCTACAAAAAAACCACATAAAAAAAAAAAACAAAAAAACCCGACAAGATCAGTTCTAACTTTCAATCCGACAAGTCGAGACAGCTCTGCAGATTTCCCTCTCATTTCCGTTTTAGACACCCGGCTCCCTCGTCGCGCGTTTCCAATGTCGTCGTCGCCGTTTCGCTTACAGTTATTTTCGTACCTTGCGAAGGAAGGCGCTCGAAGAATTCGCGAAGCGTATGCGCGCTTGCACGCCTATGCGAGCGACGGTAGGCGCTCCAACAGCGCGAGCAGCTGCTCTGCGCAAGAGATCCTTGCCCGATCGCCAGCGGCGCGGGAGGCCGCGCGTTTCTTACGGCCGATTGGGCTCAAGGCCTGTGCTGCGCGGACGCGTGTCTACGCCTCGCCGCTTGCTCGACCACACGGTGTTTCCGATGTCGGTGGTGGGGAGTGTGTGTGCCAACGACGGGGACCGCCGCGGGGACACGGGCGTTACCTGTGTTCCGGCATATTTTCGGGCTGAGAAACGGTGCGGGCTTCCGGCATGGCAGACAAAACAAAATACCTTCGATAGGCTTTTTTTCTTTTTTTCTTTTTTGTCTAAGCGGGAAAAGGTATGAAGAGTTCGGTGTTGGAAGTACTACTTGACTTTTTCCTCTTAATCCGGAGCAAGGTGTAAGATACACTCTTTAGGTGAGGACACGGCGGGGCTGAACGCGCGGCGCGAGGAATCAGATAGTGTTCGTTCGACGGGCATCCGAAAGGCTGCATCATCCCGCTGTCACCGTGCCCGCGGCTGACAGTGTCGCCGGGGGCCAAACGGCGAAACTGTGTGAGAGCGAAAAAAATTATCTCGTTGCCATGACACCCCGGTACACCGTGGTCTTTCTGCACGAGCGAAAAGCTCGCTGGAGCTCTGCGCATGTGGAGCATGAGGCGGCACGAGCCGTCTTTGCAGTGCCCACGGGTTGACGAGTCATCTGCCGGCGCCGCTTGAAACCATAGTGAGAGAGAGAAAGAGAGAGAGAGTGAAAAGCGAACTTTATCTGCACTGCGCGAGGAGCGCGCTGTCCTCACCTGAAGAGTGTTATCTTACACCGTGATCCGGAGTCACACTGCTTATACATCCTACAAAAGAAAGTCTGCAAACATCAGTCACCGCAATATCCGTGGTTCGAATGCCGCGTGCCAAGTTTTCTCCTTGAACGCATTGCCATGCGGCATTCGAAGCACGGATCTCACGGTGACTCGCGTTCGAATCTGTATGCAGACTGTCTTTTGTATGATATATAAGCAGTGTGGTCCCGGTTTTAGGAGTTTTGTAAGTTCATTTCATGGACCATCAGTTTTGAGAACGCCCGTGTATATTCCCCTTGTCAAATGAACACTTGTCCCACATCTGCCTTGGTGCATAAATTAATGAGTGAATGGCCTAATTAATTAATGACCTGCGGCGGCACATTCGCGGAGTTTCTGGACACAGAAGACAAAGAGTATTAAAAACAAAGTGTAGCGCCCTGGAAAGAAAAATGCCGAGTGCTTGTTACGCTAATAGTATGATACGTAGAAATTAATGGATAAATTAACGACACGCGGCATGTTTAACTGAAAATTCATCACGGAGCATTGAATGAAAAATGACCACTGTAACAAAAATCCGGAGCACTTGTTGCACAGTAGAAAGACGATCGAATCAAGATACTGCGGAATTGACAAGTTCCGACACGTGGTGATGCGATTGACCCGAGTCATTTTGTAGCACCTTTTGGAGCAACCAAAAGTCCATTATGGAGAAGCAAAACGTACTTTTGGAGCACAATCACAGACTTCATTTTCATTCATGCCAGTGTGAATATAACATGCAAAGATTCGTGTGTTGACCTTTCTATTAAAAAATCCGGCAAAAACTTCTAGTGACATTCGGTGGGAACGAGTTAATTTCCACTCATTTTGACCAGAAACCAGCGTAGTTTACCAGTTCTTTTGGTGGAAATATTACCGGCCGCCACTTTTAGTTACCGGATTTCGCTGGACGTTTTACCGGAGCTGTCCAACTAAAAGACGGGCATGCTAATTGCCTTCACACTTCTCTGCAACAGCAGGTTTGATTTCCTCAAAACATATAAATAGCTGTTTAGTTGCACACAGAAGCAGTAGGCATGGCAACAAGATGCTGATCGGTGAACGACAGTATGGACTGCTGTGAACATATTTTAGGTACGAAGTTCATTCAAGTTCTAAAAGTTATAATAAAACAAAAATTCAAAATTCATATTAAAAAAAAAAAGTCTGTCATTACATTATGAAAATTATTGACATATTGCGTGTAGAACTTATAATAACAGAGATCGGCTTGTGAACAATAAGTATGCCTTCTTAAAACAATTCAGGCAAAGTCGTTAAAGTTATTCCTTCTACTGATTCACCTAATTTAGTTTTGATTTATTCTACTGAGTGAACCTCGAACGGATGAAATATATGTAAAAGTGACAACTAATCAACGGAGTTCAAATAAAAAAATAAACCTATATAGCAGTTCATATAAATTTTCTTGCGAGTACCCTCGCTAAATCCAGAATTTGAAAGTATATCGTAAAAATACCGCAGTCTATCATAAATGTAGCCGTAATTTAATTCATAAATGTTTACTGCAACTAAGAGCTCCTACATTAACAATCACAAAGTTCTTTTATATATATA